TACTATTAAAGTCATTCCCTTTTTTAAAAAAAGGTGATATGTTACGTTAAAAGTACAATTAATCTGCAGACTGAAAATCGCGGAAGTCAAGGAAGATGATCATAATTCATGAATACTAGTCTTGTGTGACCATTGTCATGTATTTTATGTTAATCTATGTAGTCGTGAATATCCCATTAGTATGTGCGTTGTATTTGTGTGTGCGAGTGTGCAAATGTGAGGAGCGGTGGTGAAGTGGGTAACGTGCTGCATTTCGAACCCAACAGCCCAAATTCAATTCCCACTCATGGTCAACACCAGTGACGATTATCTTAACCGGTCCTGGGCTTCCCCTAGCTTGACTCAGCCTCAAATGAGTACCTGGTGAGATGTGTAAACATCGCCACTGGGGTGAAAAAGGCGATCGGGCGTAGTGCTGACCACCCACCCCCTCGTGTACCGTGCTGGCCTTCATAGGTGCTCACAAACAGCAATTTTCCCGGAGTCTATTAAGGCTATACAGGGGATCTTTGTTTATTTTGTTAATATGCTCATTTGATCATGTCAATTACGCATTTGGGAAAATTACGTGTCGTTTTTCATCCCCATTAAATGTAAATCCGGACCATCGAACTCCTGATTAAACCTATAATCTGGAGTGACAACGCAATACACCTGCAGGTCCAACACAGACACAGCTTATGAGAAAGAGTTGTTATGCCTAGCATACGGCAGGGGCTGCAAGCAATGCTGACCTGCAGTTACTTGCACTTTGATACGGTACAACGCAGGATAGCATCAACATTATCTTTCTCGAACAAAGTTCAGTAGAGCGCATTGTGCTGTGAAGGTGTAAACGTTAATTTATTACACTTGTCTATCCAGGAAAGCCCACTGAGGCACAACTCTTTTTCACGATGTTCCTGCCAGGTTTTTGAAGTAACAGGCGATGATTGCTGTTTTTGTATATTCCAAGTGAGCGATTTTCAGTATAATTTCAGAAATGTTAAATTTCGATTTAAAGCTTTCGTGACTGCAGGGATTCATCTTCTTGGTTCTTTCGGTAAAGTCACGTAGAATGGAAATAATAAAATAATAAAAATTAAACATAATAAAATTTCGATTTAAGGCTTTCGTGACTGCAGGGATTCATCTTCTTGGTTCTTTCGGTAAAGTCACGTAGAATGGAAATAATAAAATAATAAAAATAAAACATAATACAATAATTCTCACGACGTTTCCGGCCACAACGCAAGCAGCCGTCCTCAGGTGGAGAGCAGGTCTGTCGAGTAGACAAAGTCCCATTCAGATTCTGTCTACTCGACAGACCTGCTCTCCACCTGAGGACGGCTGCTTGCGTTGTGGCCGAAACGTCGTGAGAATTATTTTATTATGTTTTATTTTTATTATTTTATTATTTCCATTCTACGTGACTTTACCGAAAGAACCAAGAAGATGAATCCCTGCAGTCACGAAAGCAAGGAGGCCTTGCTCCAGCAGTGGATTGACAAAGTGCTCAACATTTGCTTTATTATTGATGATTTTATATATCTACATTCAGTGGCGGCTCCTGCAAAATCTCTCAGGGGGGGGCAAATGTCTGGATGATTGGTAAGGATAAGGTCCACCCATGCAATGAATAAATTAACAGCTTAAGCATGTAAAGGCAACTTGACTTCTTTAATATTAATGAAAAATAAAGTGACTCTTACAATACATCTTGTTTGTTTATATACTCACTATTAAAACAAACCACTCAAGTTTATTTTATTAAAGATTCCACTAGGTAGCGATAAATTATATTGTTGGATGAAACGTGCTTACGTATGATGACGTAAGCACGTTAGGGCTTGCCCTCCCGGAAGCCATAGAGAATGCATTGGAGCGCCCCCGTTCGAAAAAAAACATCTTTGAATGTAAGTCTATGGGGCCACTCGGGGCGATTCTCAGCCGGAGTGAAATCGCCCCAAAAGAGGCGGTACTCCACAGAACGTGACATGACGCTGATTGGACTATATCCAGAGGCTGACAGTGACGGCTAGCGTGACTCTGTGGTTGAATGACATTGGTGGTGCGTCGCCCAATCGCCCTAATGAAGAAACCGCCCCTGTCTACATTTGAAGCTTTCGTGACTGCAGGAATCCATACTATCTGGTTCTTTCAGTAAAGTCACGTAGGCATAAAATAAAAATAAAATAAATCACGACGTTTCGATTGCAACACAATAATGATTGCTTGTTTTGCAATCAAAAGGTCGTGATTTTATATATATGTAACCGAGAGTTTATTGAGAACGGCATTTTTTGAGTCAACGCAGAGATGGGTTTAAATAAAATACAGAGAAACAGGAAACAGATTTCAGGGCGGAAAACAAAATAATGCTAAATAAGACAGAGAAGGTCTCAGTGTGGAAACTTTTGTCATATAACTCCGGTGTACTTGTTTGCATAACATTGCCTAAACACGACGCCATAGAAGCTATTATACTTGCAGTAGTTGCTTGATACATGGTCTCTAGAGGTAAATAAACTGCAGGGCTAGCAGCCTTGTGGTCTGTGAACCTGGATTGTTGTTCAGAAGGATGGTGGCACACATTAATGTAATGTCAATATTCAAAGTGTCTTTGTGAAGGGAGACCTGAGTGTAATGACAGGAGAAGAAACAGCAAACGCCAATGAGCAAACAAACATATCTTGTGGGACAGTGAGCTTTTTTTTATTATTAAAGTAAATATAAAAAATGAATATAAAAAAATGATATCACAATACTTGTCTATGTAGAACTGTTATCATTGTAGTTGTTGTTATTTGTAAACAAATACGATAAGTGGAATACAGTCATTGCATTCGGGAAAACGTTGTTGTAGCACATGGTAATTTCCTCCCGTAAATTCTGATGGCTTGAATGAAGTTTGTAGCAAAAGAATGATCACCTGCCTTTTTTTGTCTAGAAAGTAATAAATCCAGTCAAAAAAAAACACTGCCTAGGAGCATGAATAATTAAAAGATAAATAGTAACCGTGCAAAACTGTCAGCCACGCTGTAAAAAAATGCACATTGGCAATTTTCTGGTCACTGTAATATATCTTGTTATAGATTACTGCCTCTTCTTGAAACTGAAACAGCATTCGGCATTTCATGCCCCGCCTTGAGCAATGCAGGTTTTTATTTTTAACATTTTCCCACGACGGGGCGCAGTGGCTGTGACTCTTAAAAATCTTAGAAGCAGGGTGATTAAACGTGCCCACAATTCGCTCACATTTTGCACACCTGACGGGGGCATCCGCAAAACTTCCGCAATGGCTTCACACTTTACCCTCTTCGATCACGCACCCCATCTGGAATGCCTTGAGATACGCGTGGGAATTAAGGCTGCCCCACCTGGCCTGGGTTTTCCCCTGGATTGTCGTTTTTCTTGTTGTTGAGGGAGCTGTCCAGGAACATCTCTAAGTCTTCCCAAGGCATTACAAGTCCCGGTTTTTGTCAGTTTCGTAATAAAACACCACTCAAGGCAGTGCATGCACGTGTAGTTCACTGGACTTTTGGTATTTTGATTGATATTCTTGTTCCCATGTACCTTATTGTTGGCAACCCGAGTAGCAATGGCCAAAAGTGACCTGTGGTTATGCCGTTGTCTTTAATAAAGAAGCAACCCAAAGAGAAACAAAAACACACCAAGGCTGTGTCTTGGGACTATTCTACACGAGACTGAAGCTTTGTTCATGAGACGAGAGACGGTGCGTCATTTTGGCGCCCCAGAGATGTCCCTGCGATGACATTCTTATATTTAACCACAATTTACATTTAAAGCTTTCGTGACTGCAGGGATTCATATTCTTGGTTCTTTCGGCAAAGTCACGTAGAAGGGATAGAAAAAAAAAACAATAAAATTCGCACAAAACGTCGTGAGAATTTTTTAGTTTTCTTATTTTATTATTTTCCTTCTACGTGACTTTACCGAAAGAACCAAGAATATTTAGCCACAATGTTAAAGTGGTATTTTCTCACGAACAAAGCTCAACACTTACGTTGAACAGCGAGGCATGAATCAACAAGATGAGAGTTGTTTTGTGAGTTGTGTTTTCCTCTGCTGGGGGTCAGCATACTGTAGTCAAATGTCAGCTGCGATTCAGACCTCCACTTCACCAGGACCAACTGAGCGCCACGTGCAGCTTCCGAGTGGAAACTGCACAACCCTGCTCTCTTTAGCTATCTCCGTGTGTCTGTCTCTATGTCTGTGTGTGTGTCTCTCTCTCTCTCTGTGTTTGAGTCTATATCTCTGTGTGTATAACTCTCTGGCTCTGCTTCGTACTGAGTTTACTCTGAGCACAACTTCCCCGGGCCCCGTATAGGCCATGGGTTCCAAAGAATAAGAATCAGAATATGTATTTCTACTGGAGGAATCCGATAAGCTATCAAGTTATTTTTCATAGATGTACAGTAGGGGCAGGTCAGAACGTTACAACAGCAAATAATACAAAAACACATTAAGATCGCAAATTACAGGTAAGATAAACAAATCACTTTAAAAATGTTTGTCTAAGTGTGTCTCACTCTCTGTGTCTCTCTCTGTGTGTGTCTCTCTCTCTGCTTGTGTGTCTGCCTATGTGTCTCCATGTCTGTGTTTAGTCTCTCTCTCAAATTTTGCAATCTTTGGAAGAACGTAATCCACGAGGTAGGGTGTTGACTGTTGTGTTAGGCGACTCTCTGTGTTGTATTGCATTCTATTTCTAAGTTCACTGTTTGTTTTCTCATTCATTCGTACCTGATGATGGCTGCTTGTGTTGCAATCGAAACGTCGTATTCTATTATTATTTGATTTATTTTCTTTCTACGTGACTTTACCGAAATAACCAAAGAGTAAAGCTATAATGTTTCATCTTTTTATAGTACTCGGTAAGGTCACCGAGGCATTAGCTTTTTTTTCAGAAGCGACCTGGTCACAAATCACAACAAAGTGTGGCCGATCAAAAGTCGCCCAGCACCGCTCTCACAGACGCGCACATGTCTCATCCACCGCAGGGGAGCAAGGAGCACTACCACTGGACGAGTGGCAATGTGAAGCACAGCGGCGTGGACGACATGGTGCTGATCTCCAAGGTCACGGAAGACGCCATCGTGGAAAACCTCAAGAAGCGTCTGATGGACGACTGGATTTTCGTATCCTGCCAAACGGCCAGCTTTACGCACGGGCACAGAGTGTCACTGGCAGCCCCCTGCAGTGTGGCTGATGATGATGATGAGGGCGGTTTTGGTAATGGCAATGATGACGAAGATCACACTGTTACCCTATTGGTATTTTTAAATTGTATATTATAGCTATTTCATATTTTATATTCTATTTTATTCAAAAATTTTACATACTTAGCTCCTTAGAGTTAAATCTTGATTTAAAGCTTTCGCGACTGCAGGGATTCATATTCTTGGTTCTTTCGGTAAAGTCACGTAGAAGGGAAATAATACAATAATTATTTATTGCTTTTTATTATTTTATTATTTCCCTTAGTATTAGTTAGACTTTGTACCTTTAGTATAGTTAGACTTGTACACCACTTATTTAAGATTTAAGATTCCTATATCCTGCCAAAGTATATTCCTTGTCTGTGCGAACTTTCATGGCGAATAAAACCCTTTCCGATTCTGATGAGGAATAATGACCGTGATGACGATGATCATGGCCATGATGTTGATGATGACTCTGTAGCGTGACCTTGTTTAAAGGGGGCACACAAAAACTCAAGGAGGGATATAACACAGCCGATCTTAAACCAATTTTAAACGAAATCCTAAACGCTAAACAGAATTAGTCATCGTTTGTCTTTGTCAATTATGCAATTTGGCTCGAGTTCTAACCTCCAATCTTTGTTTACTACTGAGGGAGGGCTGGGTGTTCAGCAGTCCCAGCCTCCAGCCTCCGTGATGCTTTGCGGTCGGCCCTTAATCACGTCACTACTACATCTCTCACTGCAGATGAAGTCACTTTTCATGAATATAATTTAAAAAATGGACACGACACTTCCTTGTGTAAGTGAAATAAATGCAATGTTTGGAGTGGCTAGCTTGTCAGCGAGTTCTCTATCAGCTGTTTCGAGGGAAGCGGAAAAGGAATGGTGGCGTAAGACGTTGGCGTGCTTCTTAGCTAACTCCCGGCCTTAGTGCACGACGTCACTATACCCAAATACCCTATTGTTGTTATGGAGCGGTGACATGGTCCAGTGGTAGCCCATTCACCGCTTGTTCGCGGAGTTTCACGGTTCGAGCCCATCGGCCCGCCCTGGTTACTACTGCGGGTGAAAGATCCCGTGGCATTATTCACAACAACAGATAAGTTGGCCGTTGCGTGCCGGCGTCATGGCCAACATTTGGAAAATTTTCTACATTACTTGCAAATTACTTTAAATGGGAAAGTAAATAGTAACGCTGTATGATCCTTCACCGGGTGTTCCCTGCCACACGGTGATCTCTGACGCAGGGCACCACGAGATGTACTGCATGAGAGGCGTGGTATATTTAGTGATGGTGATGATGAGTATGCAAAACATACAGAAACCTTTAACTTTCATATGCTGCTGCAGACATACATTGGGCCGGTGCTGATCTCAGTGAACCCCTTCAAGCAGATGCCGTACTTCACCGACCGCGAGATTGACATCTACCAGGGTGCTGTGAGTGCCTTTGTCTCTCTATCAATTTGTTTATTTGGGGTTGGTGTTCAAGCCACACCGAGTAGAATACAATTGTAACCAGGACTGGTGCGGCTCGGTGCGCTTTGGTGCAGAGGTACGTTTTAAAGTGCGTAGCTCCAGTGGCTTCCTAATATCGGAAGGAAGAGCGTTCCAGACGGCCGCAGAAGTCCATCTGAAAGCGCGCGATGCAGTAACCATCTTTGTTCGATGGCTAGCCAAAGCCGCTGTGAGGATGACCGGAGTTCACGTGATGATGTATGCTCCCTGATGAGATGAGCAAGGTATTCTGGTTCATTTGTGGCAAGCACTTTGTGTGAAATGAGTGAAATGGGAATTGAGGTAAAGTCACGTAGGTAAAAAATTAAAATGAATAAAAGTAAAATAAAAATAAAATAAAAATCACGTCACAGCACGGTTCCACCTGAAGACGGAAGCTTGTGTTGCCTCCGAAACGTCGTGATTTTTATTTTATTTTTATTTTACTTTTATTAATTTAAAAATTTTTACCTACGTAACTTTACCGAAAAAACCTAAGAATATGAATCCTTGCAGTCACGAAAGCTTCAAATCTAGAAATGGGAATTGAGCTTCCACAATCACGACATTCAAATAACAATATTCCATTATGAGCAATGCCTCGTCTGTGACCAACACTCACGCAACGTATGTATGCTGAACTGCTTTCGCACCGTACGTAGCCAACCGCGCTCATCGACCACTCAACCCTGAATCTCGTTCTTGTGCCTTTCCCCTGTTCAGGCTCAGTTTGAGAATCCACCCCACATTTACGCACTGTCTGACTTCATGTACAGGAACATGCTCATCGACTCTGAGAACCAATGCGTCATCATCAGGTGAGAAAAGCACATTTTAGATGTTCAATTTTGCATGTAAGTATGTTGGACATCTTTCTCAATGTATGTAGCCAACCGTGCAATATGCACAACATATTCCCGTATGTTGTGCATAATGTCCACATTGTTTTACACATAGGCTTTCATGACCAATACGATTATTCATAAATCGTTTCTTGGCTTAGATCGTGTGTGTTTAACGTCAATGGAGCTGTTGCACCCTCCACCACCCGACACGGCCAAACAAATCAAGTTGTCACGTGACGATTGATTTTGTCCATGTGACACCTTGACTTGTTTGGCTATGTCGGGTGGTAGAGGGTTATTATAGTCAGTGCCAGGAATGTGAAGAAGTCATGATTGGGGCAATGCATAAATGACCCCCCCCCCCCGCCCTCAGGACCCGAACTCCCCACACACCCGCTAAAGATGGATCATACCAAATTAGTCTTGAGCGCAAGGGGGTGGTGGTGGCGGTGGTGGACGGCAGAGCTGACTAATACAATCACATTTTTAGTTTTGCCTGTTTCAGCACCTTCATTCAACTAAGAATAAGAATGTATCATCACAAACTCCTTGTATGTTTCGGAGATTCACAGCGTGACCTACAGCCATTACCTACTGATAGCAGCTATATAGATCTAAACTAAAATATATATATTTTTATTTTACCAGGTATGGCCCACTGAGTTATATATCTCTTTTCCGGAAGCGACCTGGCCACAAATTATACTTCAGCGAAGTGGCTTATCATGTGTAAATGGATAGCAGCCAAATACTCTTAATGCATATTTCTAAATGTGGAGGGAAACCCCGGAGGACCCGGAGAAAAATCCCCACGACCACGGGGAGAACATTCAAACTCCAAATATACAGTTGTCAAGGTTGGGTTCGAACCAACGACCTCCTGTATACCAGGCGAGGTAGTAATATCTCGCCAACGTGGCAAAATAAAATGTTCAGTTGACATATCGAGACTGTCCAGCACTCCACTTGTCGCTGGCCCCTTCCATCACGGCGCTCCGGCTCGTTCCGACCCATTTCCACCACTGGACTTCACAGGTGGCAACCCGACATCCAGCCAGTGCATGCGGCGATAAACTGAGATTCTTCTCTGGTGGCCTGCAATCAATCCGGCGCTGACCCGTGAGTTGCACTTTGTGTGTTTGAGGCAGTGGGGAGAGTGGCGCAGGCAAGACGGTGGCCGCCAAGTACATCATGAGCTACGTTTCAAAGGTGTCCGGCGGCGGAGACAAGGTGCAGGTAAGGGGCCGTCCATAAATGACGTCACGCACCTGGGGGGGGGGTCAGACATTTGTGACGATGTGTGACGAGGGGGGGGGGGGGGTTGAGAAATGTGACGTCACATCAAAATGCGCAACTTTAAATAAATATAGACAATACGTTCTACTTAATTAAATAGACTTTTTAATAAATGTTTTCTCCTACAACATCAGAGTGCAGCGCCACATTAAATACGCACTACAATGACAATAGTTTAAAGCGATTTGAAGCATGTTTTATTTTTGTGTGTCGATGTATCATTAAGCCCTTAGCTATCCCCTCGTATGCGTGTGTAGGTTTTCTCTGGGTAGACTGGTTTTTTGCCACGGCAGAAATAGAATTCACCAAACAATCTTGCACAGGAACCTCCCGAAACGGAGTCACGAGACTCAGTGAGGTGTTCTTAATAAGTAGATAAATGGAAATGTCAAGGTTGTTACAGTCTTCATAACGAGATATGTTATGAGCATCCTACCTGAATCAGAATCAGAATATTTATTTTGACTGGAGGAATCCTATGAGCGATAAAGCTCATTTTCACAAATGTCTAGTAGGGGCAGGTCAGAACGTTACAACAAACACCACAAACAGACCAATATCATCCATAATAGAGATTTTTGGGGGGGTTAGATCCCGTAAATATATAAATGTGTCGTTAAAACCCGCCACCACCCGACACAGCCAACTAGTAAGGGTTGTCACGTAAACAGAACTTGCCAATTCGTCACTAGTACAGCACACCGGTGTGTTGGAGAGCCAAGCCACACCAGTTACAATCTCTCTCTCCTGCACGTCTGACAGCACGTCAAGGACATCATCCTTCAGTCGAACCCGCTGCTGGAAGCCTTCGGGAATGCCAAGACGGTCCGCAACAACAACTCGAGTCGCTTCGTGAGTGGACAGCGCTCCCATGGGTTTCGTGGTCAATTGGGGAGTCAAAGGCGGCTGGGCGGGGTGCTGGGCTACATCGCCTTCTTTGATGCGCCATCCCCACGTGTGCAGCAATGTGTGTTTCTTAGCATTTAGAACTCTTCACGGATGTACACCAGAGCCCTGAATTGAGTCGGGTAACCTGTGGATACCTGGAGGGTTACCCCCCGTACCTAGCCCGATGCAGGACTTTATGATGCATTTTTATTTAATCAGAATTTACGTATTTTTCTTAATTGTTTCTAGGCCTCGGCAAGGTAAGGTAATTTACCCTTTTTACCGGGTAAAATGGTAAAGGTAAAGGTGTCGACATGCCAAGGGGTAAGGTAAAGTGTAAAGGTAGCGCGAAGTATTACCCGGTAAATACGGTTCCTTGTTTACCGATTAAAGCTCCCTGGCACAGTCCCTGGCTTCCATTTAATAAGTAATATTTTTTTTAAAAAAAATTTTAAACACGCTTTTATGAAATGTACCGTACTGGTAATGGCAGAACTCCACGACTCCAGGAAGTGGCCCCGAAGCTTGCCATAACGTAAGTGGCCGTGGTCAATTACAGCCAACGTCAGTTGACCGTGGACAATTAGACCCATGCCAAAACATAACATATAAGAAAATAATGTTTAAAAATATATCTATTTTATTTTGATGATATAATATAGTATTGTCATCAGTATGACATAAGTATACCAAGTTTGCAGTTGATACCACATTGGGAAGTGGGTTAAAATTGAGTTACAATATTTGAGGATATAACAACAACGACAACAACAGACAGAGTGAGTTCAAAGAAAGCGTGTAAAATTGGAATCGAGAGTATTCTATATGTATGAAGCGCTCTACCTAGCATTTACCTGTTATAATCCTTTTTCATGTATAGTACCCCAGTAATTACCCTGTAATCGGGTAATTTGTATGGCGTAAGGGTAAAAGGTAGGGTAAAGGTAGGCTCGTTGTTTTTACCTTTTACCTTACCTTGCCGATGCCTAATTGTTTCTTTTAAAAACATATTTCAATGACTAAATAAATTCAACTTGCCAAGACTTGACTACAGTTCCACAGGTTGTCGTCGACTACACTAAGACTAAAAAACCCCTAAAATTCTGACTACATTTAAACTGGTGTGAGGTTAGTTAACCCATACCACATGGATGTGTCCTGTGACCTCCTTCCATGTGTCCCCACGTGTTCTCAATGTACACCGAACCTGACACAAATTCTGTGGTGACATCACCGCAAATCTAGTGGTGAATGACTGCTGTTGTTTGAGCGGTGGCACAGTGGCAGTGAACCCAGACATACTAATGTTTCATTCCCAGCCATGGCCAACATCAGTGGCGGTTGGTATGTGAACCGGTCCTATGCCTCCCCTGGGTCGACTCAGCCTTAAATTGCGAGTTCCTGGTGCAGTGTGTAAACATCAACACTGGAGGAGGAGAGGGGGGGAGGCTGAATTATGGTGCTGGCAACACCGCCTCCTGATGCACCATGACGGCTGGCTCACAGCATGGTCCCCAACAGTTAATTGGGGATTTTTTTTGTGGGATGAGATATTAAATGACATAATTCTTGTCTTTGCGCAGCACTTAAGAGGATGTGTCGTCAGCATCTTGTGGTAGGTTGGCCAAGTCTAAACTGAGCGTCTGGTGTGTGTGCATCACTACCGCTGGGAAACAATGGCACGTGTCTCTCTCTCTCTCGACAGGGCAAGTATTTTGAGATTCAGTTCAGCCGAGGAGGGGAGCCAGATGGCGGAAATATCTCAAACTTCCTTCTCGAAAAGTCACGTGTCGTGAGCCAAAACACAGAAGAGAGAAACTTCCACATTTACTACCAGGTCTCTCTCCGTGCACGGCCTCCAACCAACATCGCTGAATTCCCCCGACACTTTCCACGACATGCGTATTCATCTGAAGTTATGATTGAAGACGAAATTGTGCTTGCAGGTGGATCATCATTGGAGTGGTTTGAAACTAAGCTCTCACTGCATTCCATCCTGTCCATGTCACAATTCCTCGTATATGTGTCTGTGTTTTTACAAATCTTATTCCAATCGTACCAGTGGTGCATAATGTGCAGTATTATGTATTTATAAAGAAAAAAACTAGTTAGCCTGTGGCCCCAAAAGTATTTTACTTCCTACGATGGCACGTATTTGATTCGTCTATGCTTTCATTATCTTAACGAAGGAGGCATCACACCGATACACTCCGCTGCTCCTGACGCGGTTATCTGACATGACCACCCGAGCGCAACATTGTCATTGTTGCTCTGCAATCTTCATCAGCAGCCATACGAAAGAAGAACAAAATTTTAACCTTAACAGGGAAGGTCAACCTCTGTAGGCCCCGCGCCATCTTTAGGCCCCACCTCTCTTGGTTAGGCCCCTCCCCTTCTTCTTTAGGCCCCACCCCTTGATCTGGACAACGATTTGGGCTCGTGGTGGGGTAGGTTGAAAACTGACATCTCGATTGAAAAGAATTTCTTTAGAACTACTGTATTTATATTCTTAGGTTTTTTCGGTAAAGTCACGTAGGTAAAACATCAAAATTAATGAAAATAAAATAAAATAAACCTAAGAATATGAATCCTTGCAGTCACGAAAGCTTCAAATCTAGAACTACTGTATTTAGTTTGTTGTCCTTCCCCCGCAACTCCGATGAGCACGGTTGGCTACGTGCGGTGCGAAAGACGTTCAACGTGCATACGTACACGCACAGCGGTGGTGGTGGGCAGAGACAGGAGGCAGGGGTTGGGCGGATACAAGACAACCAACATCCCTCTTAGAGCAGCAATATTTATTATATACACTATCATATGTAAAGTGGATTCTAACTGAGTCGCAGACGTACTCTTTGGAGGCAACACATTTATTAATACCAACACACTCAACACAAAGGGGTAACTGACCCTCTACCAGATAACAACTATGTTGATGGACCATCAGGCTAACTACACGAGTTACACTGGGAGTAGCTACAACGGACAGGACCCCAGCTTGGGTCCAGGCCACGTGTTGGTGACTTCTTCTTAAATGTAGAACGTAGATCTTCAGATGGCAACAGCAACGCTGAACCCCCGTTCCTCTCGGGGACCCGGCTTATATGCTCGCTGGCCATAGCTGGCCCCGCCCTTGGCCACGACCACCTTCTCGAACCCTCTAGCAGGATCTCGCCCCGGCACGTGACCACCCCCACTTGGGGCCCCCTGTGTAGATCTTACCCGTCACGTGCCTTTCAGGGTCAACCAGAGTGCCATGGCCTGGGGTAACCTCATTCCATGGCTGACACTCTCACACTCAATCCTGTAGGAGTCAGCACTGCAGGCCACACGTGGTGCCACTGAGGGTGTAGTACCAGCCCCTCTCTGGGGCTGGTACTACACCCACATATACGGGGTGTCCGCGATGTAAATACATCGCACGCCGTGCCTCGCTAGAGCCGGCATTACTCAGTGACATCCACGATGTCGCTACATACGTGATGTCCGCTATGTAAGTGCATCGCACGCCGTGCCTCTCTGGGGCCGGCACCATACAGTGATATCCGCGATGTCACTACATATGTATTACTACATACACTGTGTAGTATATGCAACGGAAAATAAGAGATAATCCTGTGCTCGGGAGCACTGAAGTAATCAGCTATTTTGTATATTATATAATGCCAGGGTGCTATGCATTGTGAGTATTTTTTATCTTCTCAAAGATTTAAAGAACATTATGGAGAAATAATTACATTCACAGGAGCATAAATTCAAAAGTTATAGCAATTTAAATTAACCGTGTCAATATTTTGTATTCGTTACTCCCGCCTCTTCGATATCTCTATGAAATATCTTCCAAACGTCTTCCGCCGTTTAATTTATATTAAATGTTTATTTGTTACACGGAAAATGCTGTGTTTCCTTGGCAACGCCCCGCTGCTACTAACAACATAATTATCATTGGGGTGGAGAGGAGCTCAGCCAGAAGCCAGCCAGGAAGTGAAGGCGTAGATTATTTTTAAATGTACCTGTAGTATTATTTTTTGTAAAAGGAAAGTGTTAATGCGGGGAGTCTTTTTTGTTTGTTATTCATGCTTGTGCACCAAAGCCAGCAGAGTTCCTTATTCCTGCGTTTGCGCGAGAGTTGATAATGAGAGACTCAATAAAACTGAGATGAGAGACCTCACTGCAATAAATACTTCATGTCCCTGCCCTTCCTTTTGCTCACTCAGCTCTTGAATGGAAGCTCTGGGACACAGAAGGAGGACCTGGGGATCTCTACGCCAGATTACTACTTCTACTTGAACCAAACTGGCATTTATGTTGTGGATGACACTGACGACAACAAAGACTTCCAGGAGACCATGGTACAGTACAGGGGTGGCTCATACAGACAAAATGGTTGCTGTTTCCCCACTTATATTCCACGTTACATTAAGTCGACAAACGTAATTAACATTTGTCACGTGACAGTCAAACATATGTGTTTCGTTATCACAGCTGTGATATGAGTGAGCATTCACCAAACCTAAATGAAAGCCAATTTATTTTTGTATGATATTTTTATGCAATCATTCATGTGTGGGCTCACACCATTGACTTGTCACACTTGCGATTGTGGATTCCTGCTCGGACTTAACCCCAGGGTCTTGGCAGCACTGACTCAGTGTCCTGGCACCAGGGACATGGAAGGTCAAGAGCAGGAGCTCAGCCACTGTGGGTGCCATGGGTGTCCAGACACCCCCCCCCCCCCCCAGAATGTTTAGATATGGCTAAGGAAACACCCACAACATCTTAGACAACAATCCTGGTTCTAGATTTGAAGCTTTCGTGACTGCAAGGATTCATATTCTTAGGTTTTTTCGGTAAAGTCAGGTAGGTAAAAAATAAAAATTAGAACCTCCCAGTTCAACCAGTCTACACAACAAAGACTCATTCCTGGCAGCGGTTTCAGCCTCACCACCTCTACATAACAAAAGGCTCAGTCCCATTTACACGCACCTTTACATCAGCCTCACCCTAACAACTCTTTTCAACCAGTCTACACAACAAAGGCTCATTCCTAACAGCGTGCTTCAGCCTCACAATAATAATATCCAGGGCCTACCTTGGCTCCTCCCACCCTCAACCAGTATATATATAATGACTGTTTTCTTGGAATTTTTCTTACTTGATACAGCTATCGTGCTGCGACGGTTCCACCTGAAGACGGAGGCTTGTGTTGCCCCCAAAACGTCGTGATTTTTATTTTATTTCTATTTTACTTTATTAATTTTATTTTTTTACCTACGTGACTTTACCGAAAAACCTAAGAATAACAATCCTGGTGTTGTTTAGTGCATTTTTCTCACTTCAACAAGATGGCAAATTGTGATTATGCCGATGGCGGAACCCTTCATTGCACAGTCGCGCACGAGCAGTTAGGTTCAGTACTGAGTCAGTCGCCAGAAGTTTCGTAAGTGCAATATAATCATAATAGAATCGTTTAGTTAAATGCATGTTTAATTGGGCGTATCTGTTCTACGACCAGCGTGGCAACACTAATTAATGAGAGCAGTACCAACGGAGTCATAGGTAGACGTTTTGGTGCTCAGGACAAGGTGCCATCCTCAGACTTCCCCACCGAAAAGTGAGTCATCAGTATCCACTGCTTGTTTGTTTCCAACAGTTCTATCACCCATACAGGCAGCGCTCCCCCCCCCCTCGGCCCCCCTTGGATGGGGGCCCTGGGCAACCACCTTGCCAACTCCCACCACCCCGCCTACCGCGTTCCTCCTATGACACTGATGAATAAATTACGGGTCACTGCATCCGCAATGTAACCAATAACCACTGGGTATCATTCGCTTGTAGCCCCCCCCCCCCACAACTTCGTGTGGCTGTGCCTCTGATCCTGAGCCACGGGACAACCTGACTTTCGAAATGTCTTTGGGCGCCAGGCTGCGATGCAGGTGATCGGCATTCTCCCCGACGAGCAGGCCATGGTGTTGCAGATCGTGGCCGGGATTCTTCACCTGGGCAACATCTCCTTCATGGAGCAGGGCAACTACGCTGCCGTGGAGAGCCTGGACTGTGAGAGCACCTCCGCCCACACGCACGCCCCTGGCAGCAGAGGGACCCGCAACGCTTATGACGCACAACAACCCCTCCCTTGCGTTGTCGCTCGACTCCTAAATGGGGACGCTGCTGCGGTGTAACAGGGCACTGGTATTGGGATCCAGAGGTCGCCGGTTCGGTTCCATCTCCCTGTGCGACGGCGTTTAGAGTATTTGGCTGCTCTACATTTCCACGTGATGAGCCACTTTGTTGCGGTAGCATTTGTGGCCAGATAGCGCCTGTAAAAGAAGCTAATAGCTCAGTGGGTTTTACCTCGTGAGATAAAAAAAATTGTTGGATTTTATTTGTATATTTTTGTTCAGTGATTTCTTTACCTTTCCTATACTTTGCACTTCGATCGTGTTTTTGTAGTGTTTGTTGTGTTTCGATGTTCTGACCCGCCCCTACTGGTCATCTGTGAGCTTTATAGCTCATCGGATTCCTCCAATATAAATTAATATTCTGATTCTGTTGAAACAATCGTGTAAGTTTCTTAAATCGCACCTGCCTCTGTACACGAAACAGTATAAATGGGCACACCACTCACAGAATGAGAATTTCCCACAACAGCTGTTGTGGGAAATCCTCATTCTCATCCAGTGTGATACTGTTGCAGATGGGCACGGAGGCAGCTGTGATATAAATGCCACATATACACTATGCATTAGAATTTGCAGCCCTTTGTCAATCCATTGCTGGACGAAGGTCTCCCCACGTCGCGTTGGTCGTTTGGCTACGCTTCAAGATGCTGGTCAGCGTAGGTTTGGTGAAGGGGGGCCGAGGAACAGTTCGGATGTTACTCATCACTAAGTGTTGAGGTCAGATTTTGAACTCAGGTCACCAGGTTCACGGTGTTCACCATTGCGCCACCGCTCCACCCACACATATTTACAAGCATTTATATTTAAAATCCTGTCACCAAACAACCCGGAATACACCCAATCTTGTCAGATCTCAGAGGCTAAGCAGCGTTTGAGTCTGGATAGTGTTTCAATGTGCAATCATCATGTAGGACAGGTGGTTATGGGCTGCAGGGCTATGTGGTAGGCAGAGAGGGGGGTACAAAAAACAAATCCATAGCTCCATAATACAATTTTTGTGGGTTATATCGTGTAAATATAAATGTGTCATTAATACTCTTAGTTTTTTCGGTAAAGTCACGTAGGTAAAAAAATGAAATAAAAATTAATAAAAATAAAATAATAATAAATAATTTCATTTTTTTTCCTACGTGGCTTTACCGAAAAAACTAAGAGTATGAATCATTGCAGTCACGAAAGCTTAAACTCTAGAATGTGTTATTAAACCCGCCACCACCCGACACAACCAATTAGTAAGGTCTCTCATGTAAACAGAACGTGCCAATTCCTTACTAGTGCAGCACACCGGTGTTAGAGAGCAAAGCCACAACATTTACAATCTGAGTACGACGTTTCGCCAGTAATTACAACTAATTACAACCCAAAAATCCTCTTTTACGGATGATATTGGTCGCGAAAGCCAACGTGTTAAACAAATCCCTTGCTGCAAATGTACTTCCATGCTGGCACGGCGCCTATGCTCCCCGCCCTCACCGATACGCAGCGACTAGCACGGTGAAGTGTGGTCAAATGAACCCCACAATCGGGACGGCGTGGGGGAGGGCCTTCATCCAGCGATGCGTGTTTCAGACCTGGCATTCCCAGCCCACCTGCTGGGCATCGAGCAGGACCGGCTCATGGAGAAGCTGACAAGCCGCACAATGGACAGCAAATGGGGCGGCAAGTCTGAGTCGATCACGGTGACGCTCAACACGGAGCAGGCGGCCTACACACGCGACGCGCTCGCCAAGGCCCTGCACTCGCGCCTCTTCGACTTTCTCGTGCAGGTGACCTGCCCCGCCTGTCCCACCTGTTCACCGGTCAAATGGCCCACTTGCTTGTCCACCTATTTACTGGTTAAATTGTTCTGTCTGCTGGCCCATCCGTTCAATGATCACACGACCTGTCCATCACAGCAGCATGTTCCCACGTCACATGATCTGTCTGCCCATCCGCGAGTTCAACAGTTACCTGACCTGTCTGCCTGTCCACCTGTTTACCGGTCACATCAACTGTCTGCCCACATATCTACGCACCTGTCAGATGACCTGCCTACCCGTCTACCCACACCTTTCAGATTACATGTCGACCTATCTACTCACAGACCTGTCAAACTACCTATCTACCCGTTTACTCACACACGTGTTGTATGTATGTATGTCCGTTGAACTTCTTTCGCACCGTACGTAGCCAACCGTGCTAATCGGAGGTACGGGGGCAAGGGCAACAAACTGTCTGTTGACCAGCGTCGCTGCCTGTCCCTGCCTTGTCTAATGTGCTGCAGGCAATTAACAAGGCGATTAGGAAGGAGAGGGAAGAATACAACATTGGGGTGCTGGATATCTATGGCTTCGAAATCTTTCAGGTACAAACATCTGACACCTATTCAACACAACGTGCATGGGATTACTGTTGCAATGATGATGGTCTACATTCTCTGTCAGTACGTTATCCAGCTGACAGCTGATTATTAAAATCCAACACCGTCTGTAAATGATGACGACAATTCAGTAAAACGAGAACTTTAATTGGTGGTCTGGACAAAGGCTGAGAGCTGTGTACGTGCAATGTGGTGGTCGCAAGACTTGCATGCAAGGCATGATCGGAGTCGTGCCTTCCTGCGGTTTGTGAGTAGCACAGCGTTGCGTGTTGTCATTAAGATCTGCATATAAAGCAGGGGGTCGCGGTGAGTACATAACCAGGCAGCCGTGAAAGACAGTTTGGGACATTTAGTCTGCTCTTAATGATCTTTGTGGCTCTAGATTTGAAGCTTTCGTGACTGCAAGGATTCATACTCTTAGGTTTTTTTCGGTAAAGTCACGTAGGTGATTTATTATTTTATTTCTATTTTTATTATTTTTTATTATTTGTATTATTTTTTATTTTTATTTTTACCGACGTGACTTTACCGAAATAAACCTAAGAGTATGGATCTTTGTGGCGTTTCTCTTTAGTTTGGCCAATGAGGAGCAAATAAAAACACTTAAAAGCTCATTCATCAATACATGTCTAATCTATGCCTGGTGTGTGCTGCAGAAAAATGGTTTTGAGCAGTTCTGCATCAACTTTGTGAATGAGAAGCTGCAGCAGATTTTCATCGAGCTCACACTCAAGGCAGAGCAGGTGAGCCATCGATACTACCACTTTACAAACTCCAGTCTCTGGAGGATTAAAAATAAATCCATCCCAGGATTTCTCACCAGCTCCAACGCCTCATCGACGACATATACTTACTGGTCGGACCAGAATCAGTCTCTAAGAAATCCCGTTTCATATTTAATTTCTTAACCACATTGGAGAACGCTTTTTCACCGGTACGCTTGAACATCTCAGGGTTATAACGCACCCCTACACGTCAACCGATCTGCCACATCTGTGGAAGCGTCATCAGTAGGGGCTGCAGGATGTCTCTAGAACTGCCACAGCTGTGGAAGCACCATCAGTAGAGGCTGCAGGATGTCTCTAGAACTGCCACAGCTGTAGACGCGTCATCAGTAGGGGCTGCAGGATGTCTCTAGAACTGCCACAGAAGCAGCCTGGTTGTGTGTGGCTCAATCTGTGGGCCGTTTCCAGTCGCTGCCCCAGGTCTTGTGCCATGTCAAATAGCAATACAGAAGTGTTGCAGAAGCCAGGATTAAAACACAGGATCTTTGCAGTACTGGTTCAGTTATCGCTACCATTACATTAGAACAATTACAATTTGTATTTATACGGCATCCAAATACAACTGCAGCTCAAGGTGCTGCACCTACACAGTGTGGCACGTATATCCTGTATACGTCGGCACAGCATGAATTCCCTTGGCCGCACAATCTCTGACAGGGGTGATCATTGTTGTCGCCCGCTAAGCCCCCGTGTGTTATCCATTTTGCAAGCTGCGTGGTGTGCTGATGAACGGCTGGATCTGCAGAGGTAGCGAGAGCCTTGCTGCGTGCATTGCGTTTGTCGGGTTTGTATGTTCATGGTGGCGAGGAGGTGTTAACTATCTCGCCTGGTATACAGGAGGCCATGGGTTCGACCCCGACTCTGACCCTTGTATATTTGGAGTTTGCATGTTCTCCCTGTGGTCGCGCGGATTTTTCTCCAGGTCCTCCAGTTTTTCTTCCACATTTAGAAACATACGTTTACCGTATTTGACTGCTATCAATTTCTACATGATAAGTCACTTCGTTGAGCTATCATTTGTGGCCAGGTTGCTTCTAAAAAAGAGCTATATAGCTCAGTAGGCCTTAGCTGGTAAAATAAAAATGACAGCACATGGTTCTTAAGGACTCGCTTATCGCTTTCATCTACCCTCCGTGCAGGAAGAGTACGTACAGGAAGGCATCAAGTGGACACCCATCGAATACTTCAACAACAAAATCGTCTGTGACCTCATCGAGAACAAAGTTGTAAGTGGCACGGGTCGCTTGGCTCTCACGCATCATACCGGCAGGGTCAGCCAGTAATAAGCCTTGTGCCTCACAGTAAGAAGGACCTGGGTTCGATTCCGGATTCGGACACTTTTCTATGTTGTAAAATGAATGTTCTCCCCTGTTCTGCAGGGGTTTCCTCTAGGTTTTCAGGTATGCTGTCATAGTAAAACAAATGTATATATATATATACTATAACTGTGTTTGCTAAAAATCCTCATTCTGAAATGTTACCCGCAAATTACTCAACTGGATTACACATAGCAACATTGCCCTCTGACTGAGAAAAATACTTGGCAGGACCCTGCTGAAAAATTATTATGAGACTCGGTAGGACTCAACAGGTTAAACAAGCTGAATAAAGTAAACAAAACATACATGTCCAAGATTTTCTAACCTAAAAGGAATATTCTTGTCATCTTCACACATACTCATGTTAGGACTACCACCTCTGAGGTCCAAACAATCCTGACACATCATGGGAAGTAGAATATCATATTATTATCTCACAATTCCGGAAGTGAGGAGAACTACATGTGAATGCATTGTCTTGAGTAGTGCATCATTATAGTTATTAATCGGCGATTTCCCAGGACAACCAGAGGATGACCCTGGAAAACCCAGGGCAGGTGGCACCACAAACTCACGGGCCTATTTCCCTACTCTGCTGGTTGAAGGCGTCGTCACATCGACTGGCATGCTGCAATCTTTCCCCCCCCCCCCCGACAGAACCCGCCGGGGGTGATGAGCATCCTTGATGATGTGTGCGCCACCATGCACGCTAAGGGCGAGGGCGCAGACACCACGCTGCTGCAGAAGCTGCAGGCCGGCATCGGCTCCCACGAGCACTTCAACAGCTGGAACCGCGGCTTCGTCGTGCACCATTACGCCGGCAAGGTGACGGCGGCACGCGCCGCATCGCGTGGCTGGCGGGAGCAGCCCCGGTGCTGGGGAATGAAGTGGGGGAGGCCCTGTTCAATTTTCAACCTTTAAAACAATATATATATATATCTCCTAGTTGCGCTCCTGGCATGGTGCACACTCACTACTGTGTATGCATGCATGTACGTAGCCAACCGTACGTGGTTTTGAAAACGTATCGGTTTAGCCATGTTTGTTTGTTGTAGTACAAAGTTAGCTTGATAACTTTAATCTACATTGTCTTACGGTTGTTATTGTTTGACTTGCATCCCACTGGGATTTTTGCACACAGCGTTGAAATACGGTGTTTTTTCTGGAAGACTTTTGCTGTTTTTTCCAGGATTGTTCTGTTGCGTGTAGTCACTTTAAGATGTTTCTTGTTCGTGTTTATGTTTTGTTGCAGTTGCACCCGAGTCAAGAGCCGCATTGCTCACAGGGCTATACCTCATAAATGAAACTGAACCGCGCTAATCGGAGCTCCTGTGTTAACAATGCACTCATCCTTAAACACCCACTCTCACAGATACGTATGCCACTGGCGTAACCGCTATACAGATACGACTCGAGCAATGGGGCATCAAGTTCACACTCGCGCCAGGCCCTGACCTCGCTATTCCCATGCCCCCAGGTCTCTTACGACGTGGAGGGCTTCTGCGAGCGCAACCGAGATGTGCTTTTCCCTGACCTGGTCGAGCTGATGCAGAGCAGCCAATAGTGAGTATCCTCTGTCACCGACGCACGCGCTCACACACATGTGCACGCACGTTTGCGTACGTGTATATGCACTTCATGAAAGGCACAACCCAAAAAAGGCAACTTTGAAAGAGCACACTTTCTCTTTGGTCACCTTGCCACATGTCCCAATTCCCGCAGCCCCTTCTTCTACAGCCTCTTCCCCGAGAACCTGCAGGTGGAGAAGAAGGGCCGACCCACCACGGCTAGCAGCAAGATCAAGGTGCGATGTCTGACTGCACTCTTAAGACTTTAAACTAAACGCTTCAGGGAAATTACACTTGCAAAACACACGGCCATTCAGATGGAGATGCTCTTTGCCAATAACGTCTGAAAAAAAATCTGCCTATTTTGTTTAACAATGATGAGACCCAGAAGCTCAAAACGGGTACAGAGTTTTCAGGCTTAAACATATGTTGCGGGATCATATTGGTTTGGAAAGCCAATAGGCCGATGGACTAAAATATGTTTTTTTAATTTATGTGTGCAGACACAGAACGGGGCTCCACTTATATATGATTTTACTCGTGAAATAGCTCATTTACAAAACGTTATTTTTTTACTGTCATAGGGGGTGAAAGGAAGCGCTTAATGTTCTGTGTGACTAATTTTCTTTCGGAAATATCTTAACTGAGAGAGTCTTGGAAGGTTGGGAAACGAAATAATGATATGCGTATGCTAATTACCGTAACTTTATAACCGTTCTTTTGCGAGACTTGTATTGTGAAAATTAACAATATTGTATTATTTCAGTGCAGGGGAAAGTAGGGGAAAAGGAAAGTTGCAGGTAAAAATATAATGAAAAAACTTTCGTGTGATTGGTCGTTATGCAGTTGGCATTCCTCCAGGATAAATAAATATTTTGTTTCTGCATGATTTAAAGCCTATTTTAAAAATAGACAAACTTAAAAATTATTGTACATTTAGCTAATATCATGTAAATATACAGCAATCTGCAACTCATTTGATTGAAACCGAAGCACCGCATACACAGAAGAACGTGTCAGAAAAATGAAAGATCAGTCAGTGTTGTTGTGTTGTGCGCGCATTGACCGCGTGGTCTGCGCACCTGTGTGCGCGCGCATTTGCTCTCGCTCGCGTGCAGAAACAAGCCAACGACCTGGTGAACACGCTGATGCGATGCACGCCGCACTACATCCGCTGCATCAAGCCCAACGAGACGAAGCGCCCTCGCGACTGGGAGGAGAGCAGGTGCCGAGGGCCGCTCACACTCGCGTTACCACCACCACTGTTTAGTTCGTTTTGTTTAACCGGGGTGAGAGTTAGAGAGACCAGAAGAGTCTCAAGTGTAAGCGCATTGATTTTTTTTCTATAGGATAGAATATTTCGTAACATAAGTTGTCTTGGTCAAACTACTTTGAAAACACTCACAATAAAAATAATATTCGAGACAATACAAATAATTATAGCACGAAATATAACTGCTTTTTGTGTTTAGTTTTTTGTCCTTCCCCCGCACATCCGATTAGCACGGTTGGCTACGTACTTTGCGAAGAAGTTCAACATGCATACAACTAAATGGGTCATATCTTGGGAAGAAGAATATCTCCTGATACCAGAAGAGGGGATAACTTGGTGGAATCGCATTGTCTTCAGTGGTGCATTATTGCACAACTGATGAAAAAAAAACACGACTTATTTTTTTGTCATGGGTTAACCTACAGATTTCTTAGGACAGTGACGGCAAAAAAGAGGACGATCCTGGAAAGCCAGAATGGGTGGCAACCCTAGTAAATACACACAACGCACACATACGCAGACGTACTTGTGCTCACCAGTGAGCCAGAAACTCGATCATCTATTCCTTCAAGTAACTCACATTATAATAGATTTTTCAATGCCCACGTCATGATAATCATCATGGTCTGTTCTGGGTGACCACAGTCGCGCACCGGAGATTTTTTTTTACTTTCCATTTGTGCATCAGGCGTCTGCACCTGCCACAGTTCATGCAGATGCAGTTTAGGGGTCGTGACCCACAAGCTTCATGGAAGATCGAAGCCAGGGATTGTCTGCGTCAGGATTTTCACGAGGTGTCTGTGACTTCTTGTGAACTCCCAATTTGTGCTTTCCACGCGTCGCCAGCTTTGAAGTCGCATTGTCGAAGGTGAAGGCTGCGTGCGTCCAAAAGGTTCTCGCTCGATTTCAAACGGCGGCGAGAATCCCACCGTGGGCACGGCGACTCTTCTTTCTTTGGTCAAGGCCGACGCGGGTCCGCTCGTAACGAGTTTGCTGCCCGTGCGTCCACGACGTGCGTGCGTGCGCTCTTCCCGTGCAGGGTACGCCACCAGGTGGAGTACCTGGGTCTGCGGGAGAACATCCGCGTGCGTCGCGCCGGCTTCGCGTACCGCCGCGTCTTCCAAAAGTTTCTGCAGAGGTGAGCGCCGAACCCTGGGACACCAGTGGCTCAGCCAATGCCAGCTGGGATTGTCCGTGCAAGGCAATATTCATGACAATTATAACAGCAATTGCAATGATCATGGTAACGGTGATGACAATTGTTCCAATGATTACTATTACAATGATGATGATAATGATGACAATGACAATAATTATAACGATGATGGCAATGCTGCTGATGATAATGGTGATGATGACAATGGGAATTGCAATGACGATTGTACCAAAAAATGACTGGTGGTGGTGAGAATGAAAATGACGATGGCAGTGATGAAAATTATCATTTTTTAATAATAATGAAAATTATTATGGTGGTGGTGATGATGAAGATCACGATGATGAAAATGCAAACGGTAATGGTGGCGATGATGGCATTTACAACGATGATGGTGATGATGACGACGACGACAACAACCTTGGACGCTTTGCGACCCGCGCGGACAGGTACGCAATCCTGACGGCGGAGACGTGGCCGGCATGGCGCGGGGACGAGCGCCAGGGAATCACACACATCCTGCGTGCCGTCAACATGGAGGCCGACCAGTTCCAGCTGGGGCGCTCCAAGGTCTTCATCAAGGCCCCCGAGTCGGTGAGATGAGAAGGCCCCCCCCCCCCCCCCCGTGCCGCCCCTCGGCAATGTGGCAGCGTAGAGTGGTGGTGAGTGGTTGACTCGAGTAGGTGAGTGGCGATCTGTATGAGAAATACTTTTATCTTTTGTGTGGAGAGAGATTTATATACGAAGGAGACACACGACGACATTTTGATTGTGCAGGGCTGCCTTTAGGAAATTTAGAGAGGAGTGTTAAATGTTGAATGTGCTTGGGTGCCTGTCTGCGGTAGGGTATCGGTGAGCGCGCTGCGCTATGAACCCGGCGACCCGAGTTCGATTCCCGCTCACGGCCAACATCAATGACGATTATCTGAACCGGCCCTGGGCCTCCACCTAGGTCGACTCAGCCTCAAATGAGTATCTGCTGCAGTGTGTAAAGATCGCCACTAGAGAGACAAAGGCGGCCGGGCGTGGTGTTGGCTACCCATCCCCTAGTGTGCCATGCCGGCCTTCATAGGTGCTCGCTAACAGCACTCTTAAGGCTATACAGGGGATCTTTGTCTTTAGTGTGCAAGCGTGCTAACATTTTGTGGGGAGCAACAAATATGTTTTGCCTGGTCCTGGGCCTCCCCTCGGTTGTCTCAGCCTTTTAAATGAGCACCTGGTGAGGTGTGTAAACATTAGCATTGGGGAAACAAAGGTGGCCAGGCATGATGGCAGCCACTCATAGCCTCGTGTGTCGTGCCAGCTTCAATAGATGTGCCCTAACATCACTTCAAGTTTCAAGTTCAAGTTTCATGTATTAGGTATAGTCCTGTGAGCCATGCGGCTTTTGAGTCGGTTGCAACCGCAACAAACAAAATATAAAGAGAGAACATCTTAAAGCGACGACGCGCAACAGAAACATCCTGGATAAACCAGCAAATCTTCCAGGAAAAAAAACACTGTGATACAACGCTGTGTGCAAAAATCCCAGTGTGATGCAAGTCAAACAATAACAACCATAAGACAATTTAGATTAAAGTTATCAGGCCAACTATGCACTTCCACAAGAAACATAGCTTAACCATATGTTTTTGAAATCACCAAAATAAAGCTATAAAAACAATGTAACAACAGTAATCATAGGAACTGTGATTTAAATTCAACAATAAACGATATACATATGCTTGCTCCAGCAGTCTGTTGAAGGCTATTTCTACGGGAGATCGTTGTCGCCGTGAGTGTGTTAACTCTGTGTTCTCTTTCTCAGCTGTTCCTCTTGGAGGAGATGCGCGACAGGAAATTTGACGCCTTTGCCCGCACGATCCAGAAGGCCTGGCGCAAGTTCAACGCCCACAAGCAGTACGCCCGCATGCGGGAGCAGGGTGCGTAATAGATGAGTGGTAATGTCTTGAATTGAATAAGGTTCAATTGACTAAATGGTGGGGGGAGGGGGGGCATTAACCCCGGAGAGGGGGGCACAACACAGTCAATGTTAAAAACAAACTTTAAATAAAAAACAATATAGAAGGGGGAGCTGAGGAGCAGTGACGGGCTACACCCCGTCAAGTTCTATGTGAGTCTATGGCTTTCTGTGAGCTATCTGGGTCTCCGTGTTTGTCTACAGGTGGGTCTCTGTGCGAGAAGTGCTGATGAGAAAGTCACTGCCAGCCACATGCCAGTTTATAAGTAATTTCCACCTGCGCACACGTGGACTGCAAGACCCAAGGAGGACTTTGTTGCCTCCTCCAGCTGGAGCCACGAATAGCCACGTATCCAGGCCCTGTTGAATGACAATCAAGGCTGGAAATGGGAAGGAATTACTGGGGGACCTCATAAATGCCCCCCCCAAGCACACACATATATATATATAACCTGCCACTACACTTGTCCCTGGTTCATTACAGAATGCAGTCGGGTTAAAATGTTTATTCCCACCATGACAATCTGGGTCATTCTGGCCTATTTCGACTGCTGATGATACGTTTCCTTTTTTCAGCTTTGAAATTGTCTTCTCTATGATACCCATAAGTCGTAGTCGTTGAGAATAATTTTCCGTCCACTCAAACAGTTACTGTAACCAGTGTATCCGTGCCACCGATGGCTTAGCACACGACGACGAGACGCCACCGCCAGTTCGGCTATCCTTATCGGAAACCTTTTAGCGCGCAAGCTCAAACACCCGTGTGCTGGGTTCCTGCAGCCTCGGACATCCTGCTCAACAAGAAGGAGCGGAGAAGAAACAGCATAAACCGCAACTTTGTCGGAGACTACCTCGGTATGGACGACCGACCGGAGCTCCGGCAGTTCCTGGCGAGGCGAGAGCGTGTGGATTTCGCCGACGTCGTCAACAAATACGACCGCCGCTTCAAGGTGCTCCTCTCCCGGCTCTCTCACTCGGTGCTGCCTGGGCTGGCGAACGCTGCCGGCATGGATCACGGGCAGAAGGTTTAGCTCGTACGGTTTGTGTGAATCTTTGCCCGGCATTAAAAGCTGTATGGATTCTCCTCCCCTCGTGTCACTCCGGCAGTTGGTGAAACGAGATCTCATCTTGACAGCTAAGTACCTGTACCTGATCGGGCGTGAGAAGGTGAAGAAGGGACAGGAGAAAGGCCAGCTGATGGAGGTGCTCAAAAACAAAATCGAAATTGACAAAATCCAGTCCATCTCGCTCAGGTAAGAAGCACACGAATTTGGCCGAAGTTGTAAAACTGTTGTCACATCTGGGATGGAGCACCCAGTTCCTGCCTCATTGCACCTGTTATGATTCAACGTTACCAGCACTCACTGATTCACTCCATTCACTGGTGAACAATCACCTTCTTATGACTCTTCTATCGCTACTACCATGGTCAATGTTCCTATGAACTCTATTGATTGATTGTATGTATGTTGAACTTCTTTCGCACCGTACGAAGCCAACCGTGCTAAGCGGAGGTGCAGGGGAAGGACAACAAACTAAACACAAAAAGTAGTTCCGATGAAATAAGTTTTCAATGTTGATTTAAAAGTGGAGTCTACCAGGCTGACTTGTTTTTTCTCATCTGTATCGTTTTCAATTACCATCCTGCAGGTCAAAACTCTTCTCTTTCTGCCTCTTTCCTTGCACTTCTAAGACCTTGCTCAAATCAGAAAACAACTGAACTCTCATATATACCTTCAAGAGTGCTGTTTTTTTCACAAAGGATGAGACAAAACAAATGAAAACGACGGACCAAACGATGCAGACAGATTGACAGCACGGACAAGGAATTGCACATAACACAATTGTAACCTCCAATTGTGAAAATTCATAGAATCACAGTGGAAACAGAGGTTGATTTTATCATGCCTAAGCGCTACCGTTCTATATATACCTGCGTAGGGGTAAGACCGATCATGATGTCTGGTATTTCTACCCTATCCATGGCTTAAGTGAACTTATAATTGAGCACTTTTGCACAACTTTAGGATCTAGCAGACGGAATGAAGCAATGGCAAGGTGTGGTGGTATCTTCGGGCGCAAATTGACTATGCGATGATGATATAATAATTGTGATCTCTAGTCTTTGTAAGTCTGCGTCTATTAAACTAATGTAAAAGTCACGGAAGCAGGAACGTCAACTGAAAGTTGGCTACTGTGTGTGTGGGCCGCTACGGTCGTGGTAGTGTAGTGGTTAGCGCACTGCGCTACGAACCCGGGGACCCGAGTTCGACTCCCGCTTACAGCCAACACCAATGACGATTATCTGAATTGGTCCTGGGTCTCCCCTAGGTCGACTCAGCCTCAAATGAGTACCTGGTGCAATGTGTAAACATCGTCACTAGGGAGACAAAGGCGGTCGGGCGTGGTGTTGGTCACCCACTTCCTCGTGTACCGTGCCGACCTTCATAGGTGCTCGCTAACAGCACTTGGCTCAACAGTCTGTTGGGGCTATACGGGGGGTTTTTGTATATTTTTTTGCATGCAGCACTTTGCAGGATGACATGTTCATCGTTCACGAGCGCGAGGACGACAATCTCCTGGAGTCTGTCTTCAAGACCGAGCTCCTCAGCCTCCTGTGCAAGCACTTTGAGGAGCTCACCAAGCAGAAGCTGCCCCTCAACTTCAACAACACGTGAGGCCGCGCTGCTGTGATGCCGCCTGTCCGCACCTGTGTGCGACGATACTGTGTGAACCCCATACTCTTAGGTTTTTTCGGTAAAGTCACGTAGGTAAAAAATAAAATTCAAATTAATAAAAGTAATAATAGAAATAAAATAATAAACCACGACGTTTCGGAGGCAACACAAGTCTCCGTCATCAGGTGGGACCGTCACAGCTAAATTTACTGTATCAAGTGAGGAAAAAATTCCAAGATACAAGTTCTTAAATACAAGTTAAGGGGGGGAGGAGGGGGGGAGGAGCTTATCTGAGTGTGGTAGCCAATGAATGGAACGTATTGGGGGGGGGGGGGGGGCGGAGCTAAAAGAGAACAACAGGTGCACATGCTGTGTGAACCCCTTTGTCTTCTCCTGATCCCCCCCCCCCATCAGCCTTGAATGTTATACTCATTATAGTTCTCATTTATCAACAAGAGCCTCATTGAGCATTGAGCATCAAGACTGCATCTGGGATATTTGGCAAATTCCTCATGGAATATTTTTTCCAAAGATAAACGGAGCGCCTGCAGAAAACCCTAACATGCGAGATGACGACACTCGCATGATAATTATTACAATCGTAATCAGCTTTATTTATTGGGGACAACTTTGCTGAGTCTTGGGACCTTTTTTGGGGGGGGGCTTCTGCAATCGGCATGTTAGGAAAAATTAATGAAATGAGTGTTTGGCACCAAAGAAATCTGATAACGAAAGGTGAGACACCTAATTTCGCTACTGCTATGTACCGGCCTCCTCACAGCCTAGCAGTTTTAACATCCCTCACGCAATGAAATATGTACGATCCACCTCATCGGGTTTACGGGTTTTGCGCCACTGTCATGAGTGTAAGCCAACGCCACTTATCTTACACGCACTCCACCAAATTCAAGTCACTTCCCTCTCGCTCTGAATGACACCTCTTGATTCTCAATGCCTCCCACCCACGTGTCCCGTGAAGGCTGGAGTTCCGGGTGAAGAAGGAGGGCTGGTTTGAGAGGGGTGGCACTCGCCAGGTGTCATTTGTGTGCAAGACTGGAGACGTCGCAATTTTGAAATCCAGTGGCCGAGTTCTTACCGTGGCCATCGGCCGGGGACTGCCCTCCAGCTCACGTGAGCAGCACCGGTGCCGCGAATAGAATTGCCACCTGTCCTGCTTTTTCCCCAGGATCGTCTCAATCTATTTTGTAGCGATGCTTTTTGCAAGGATTACTCAATTGTATGTGATACTCTGGACTTGTGCGTTACTTTTTTTTTTCTTTGAGATGTGGGCATCGCTGGTACACAAGCATTTATTGCCCATCCCTATATTTATGTCGAATTCGGTAAAAAAAATCAATATTCCCAGAGCCAAAATGTACGTGAATACAAGACGGTCCTTAAACAACGTCACGAGACAGTCCCTAAAGTGCCGCATGAGGCTCTGAAGCCGCAGATTGTTGGCCCGTGCCTATGGTAAACTAGACTTCCATGGTGAACTGGACTCACATGGTAAACTGTGAACTTCCATGGTCAACTTGACTCCCATGATAAACTGGACTTCCTTGGTATACTGGACTCCAATGGTCAGGAGTTGGCAACCAAAACAACAAGAAGAGACATTTTTTTCTAATCTGGTAAAAAAATACTCAATATTGTAAGAGCTGCAATCCATGTGAATGCGAGACGGTCCTTAATCAATAACGTTACGAAGCAATCCTTAAAGAGTCACATGCGGCTCTGGAGATGCAGGTTGATGACCCCTGCTTTAGCGGAACCAAAGATATATATTTGACTCTAAAGCATTTAATTTGAGGCCTAGAACCAAAACTATTGGTCTAGGCATATCGTCTCAGCATGCTCGCATATATTTAAAGCTGACAATTTCATTTAATTGTCGTGCACTTGACAGCATGTATGCGTTGTGGGTTTTAACATGCATGCCGGTTGTAATCATCTCTGCCCTTGGCACGTTTCCTTTCAGGCCCAAACAGAAAGGAGATCATGAGAGGCAAGGGGAGAGGCAGGGGCTTTACAGCGCAACCATCTTATAATAAACAAATCCAGCAACGTCCACTGCCAGCCGCTAACGCAGGTAAGCATCCACACACAAACACAAGCATCAGACACACAAAACTCGCCCTCACTCCATGCTAAAATGCCTATTACCAATATGCCCGATCTCATCAGATCTCAAAAGCTAAGCAGGTTTTAACATGGCTAATATGCAGATGGTCAACCACCATGCACAACAGAATGTTTTCGGCTGGAGGGCTACATGATGGTGGGTAAAGGCATCGTTTTCTCTATTTTTCACTCCTATCGGGTTTTTTAATATATTGTTTGTTATTGTAACTTGCTGATCTGACCCTACTGGACATCTCTGATAAAGAGCTTCATAGCTTATCGGATTCCTCCAATCCAAATAAACATTCTGAAAATGGTCAAATAACCCTGACGACCTGCACGCGACATGGGGAGACCCTCACCCATGAGCGGATTGACAAAAAGGTCGTACATAACATTACATCAAAGACAATGGTTGTAATCCTGTGTTGGCAGTGGAGCACAAGCACAAATAAGAAAAAAACACTCAACACATTTAAATCTTGACTTAAAGCTTTGCTGACTGCAGGACTTCATATTCTTGGGTCTTTCGGTAAAGTCACGTAGATACGTAGATATGTGACTTTACTCAACACATTTATAAATAACACTACACTAAAGAGGAAAAATAAACGATAGACATTTTGATAAATGATCCAATATGCAAAGCAGAGACATGTGCTATGAATAGGGGTCTATTATATATATTTTTCCTATTGAGAGTAGAGTTATTGACAAATGTGTTGAGATTTTGTGACAAGTATAATAGTAAAATATGCACAAACACCATACCCGTCAACCCGTACGGTTTACCCGTATTCTTGTACAGGGAAATTGAATTTTTCAGGTCCATACGGCGTACAGCCGTTTCAATACGAGCAAGCCAAAAAAAATGTATGTTTGTGTTTCTCCCTTGTGATGGGACTTTGTAGGATGAACGTTGAGATTTATAAGGTTGCACGTTGTGAGCAATAAGGTCTGAATTGGTCTGTAATAAGGTAGGCACTGCTAATCGGTTAACAGGTATGAAACATATTCTTAGTTCAATCTTAATTTTGGAGCTTTCGTGACTGCAGGAATTAATCTTTGGTTCTTTCGGTAAAGATAAATTAATAAATGAAATAATAGCATTATTTAATTTATTATTTTATCGATAAAGATAAATTAATAAATTAAATAATATCATTCTTTAATTTATTACTTTATCTTTATACGTGACTTTACCGAAAGAACCAAAGATTATATTCTTAGTTCTTTCGGTAAAGTCACGTAGAAGGGAAATAATACAATAATAAAAATATAAAACAATACAATTCTCACGACGTTTCGACTGCAACACAAGCAATCATCATCAGGTGTGAAATCCACAGCAAGACAATTTGTGAATTTCACACCTGATGATGATTGCTTGTGTTGCAGTCGAAACGTCGTGAGAATTTTATTGTTTTATATTTTTATTATTTTATTATTTCCCTTCTACGTGACTTTACCGAAAGAACCAAGAAATATGAATCCCTGCAGTCACGAAAGCTTTAAATCAGGTATGAAATGCTTAACGCGTGGGATCACGCCTGTCCAAGCAGGCTACAAAGGACCCCAGCACCAGAAGCAGCAGCAGCATCGCAATGGTGCGCCGCCTTCTCAGCGTCAGCCCACGTGTTCAGCCAAGGCACCCGCCTATGCCCAGCCCAACATAAAGGGTGGCACCAAAAGGCAGCAACAGCAGGAACTACCTCACCTGCCACGCCACGCATCTAACGTGCGCGCCCCTACCGCTGCCCAGACCAAACGTGACATGGACTTCATGCGGGTGCCGGATCAGGGTGCGGCGGGGTACGTCATCGTCCTCAAAACTCCAACTTATTAAAAAAATTCCACTGCGAGCTTTCTTACCCACACCCATAAATAAGACCACATTATCTCCACTGGCTAGCAATCCAGTATCCGATCAATTTAAAAATCTCACTCAACGCCTCAAAGATCCTTCATAGACATGCCTTTGCCGAATTCTCCTCTTATCACTCTCCTCTTGTCCACACATTCTCTGCTCCAGCAACCAAAGTTCTCTGTCACGACCCCCCTTTGTATGAAACCCCCTTGCCCCAGCCACCTGTGCTGTCAAATCCCTGCCCCTGTTCAAGTCTATGCATATAGATATTATATAAATCAACATTTATATTGTATCATCCATTATCTGCCTGCTGTTGTGTCGCCACCACTACATCTGGTGCTCAAGCATTTGCAATTCATCTCATCTGCGCATGTGCATTAATTAGATATGTCACTCCATCTCCGCTTTGGTTACTGCTCCAACACATGCATTATTTTTTTGTTCACAGTTTTGCACGGCTTCAGAGCACGAGTTTCCCATGGTTGGTAACCGTATGTGGTGTGATTGTATTTGTTGTTTTGTGGCTTTGTGAACGCGCGTGCGTCCTCGTTCAGCACCCAGAGGCAGGTGTCCCAGGTTCGCCCTCCGCCGGGAGGCGGAAGATCCAAGCCTTCCATGCAAGCCAGAGCAGCCGCTTTCCCGCGCTGTCGTGCCATATACCAGTACGACGCGCAGGACACGGACGAGATCAGCTTCAGCATCGGCGAAGTCTTCGACCTCACCCGGGAAGGTGGGTGGTGCATGTGCAAGGATGGTGCGTGGCCTGGTGGCCGCGAGTAATGATTGCAGCGATGAGGACAGGCAGGGTCAAGCGACGTAACTGGGCGAGGAGTCACCGCGGAGAGGGGGAGGAACCTGCGAGGTGCTAGCGAGGCTAGGAAACACTCCGGCAGAAGAGAGTTCGGGAAAAGGGGCGGGGCCCCAGCCGAAGTGAGATGTAAGGGAGCGCATAGCGGGGCTTGGGGCTGCCGTGGGAATTCGGGGTTCCGGACCGTCGTCGCTGTGGTCATCGAACTCATCGTCTTGAAAAGCTGGAGAGGGAGTTATATGTCTTTACCGTAGCTACTACATCAACGGCTCCTATATAGTCAGCTATATAGTGAACGTCGTGTGGCAGCTACATATAGTCACCCAGTTGTATATAGTGAACCTTCGTCCACCTGTAACATGTCATCGAGTCGGGTGGACTATTTATAGAATAAATATATAACTTATGCAAGACTGCGTCTTTGAGTGCTACACTACACATGTAAACATCGTCTTTGCCCGGTGATAGTCCGTACACGCGTAAATGCTTCGCTGAGCCTTGTGTGTGTCACTGAATCCACACGCACCTCAATCAAACTTTTTCCAGCTTCAATGGAAGAACCTGCAGTGTCTGGGGCTCTGTTGTGTCGGATTCCCACTGACGATTGTAGCCGTGTATTTCTAACAATGACAGCCATACCTAGGCGATTATATATGTGTGGCCTTTCTTCTAAGAATGTATACTTATAAAGTACAGCCCTTTGTCAATCCACTAATGGATGAAGGCCTCTTTATACCGTGTCCGATTCTTCACCACGCTTGCCAGTGCAGGTTGGTGAAGGAGGGGCCCAGAATCAGAATCAGAATATTTACGCTAGAAGAATCTGATTTTTTATTTACTTATTTGCTGTACTTTATTTAATTGGTTTAGTCATTGTGGCAGCTCGCATCATTCTTGCAAATTAGACTATCTTGGTTTCTTACCTGGTTCTTACCTGGTTAATCAATTGAACTTGGCCTACTGTGACATCCTGGGCAAATGAACTATGTAAATATATGCGTTATCTAATGACAAACTTCTGTTTGTTTATAGATCCATCTGGTTGGTGGACTGGGTGCATCCGTGGCAAGGAGGGAATGTTTCCTGGGAACTACGTGGAGAAAATATGAGCAGCTGGCCTTGAAATGTGCAACCTGGGTGTTTCAAATCCTCAGCATGCCTTCACAGTGGTAGAGAGCAAAAGTGTAAAACATCTCTGTGTACTTGATCTCGAGCACACCTGGCAATGTATGTGTTGTTTCCTCATTAGTGCACTCACTTGCATATTAGGCAGTGGTTTTCAACCTTTTTAGTATGGTGCCCCCCAACCCCAGCCCCTGTGCGCCCCCCCCCCCCGCCATGAGAAAAAATATTGAGCAATCATCAAAGCTAATCAGATACTGAAGACGCACTGACTCTACATATTCAAGTAATTTTCCATGCATCCAACTGCCTTCTGGTTGGCTGGGTGACACAGGCCCTCTTTGTCTCTTTAATCGGTGCCCATGTGCCAGCAATTGAGTCTCATGGTATTTTCACGAGGACAAACTTGATGCAGGGCTAAATAAAGTGCCAGGGTAATTTAATTGATGGAAATGTAACAATTTCACTTTAATATGATTGGTTCTTTCGGTAAAGTCACGTAGATAGAAAATAAAAAATTATAAAATTCAAATTAATTGAAAATAAGAAAAGCAAAAAACCCACGACGTTTCGATCACAACACACGCGGTCTTCATCAGGCGGTGGCTTCACTTTAAGCCACCGTAAATTGCCATCCAGATAATGCATTTGATAATAAAGTCCATAGTTTCACATAAGAGACATACCATGCTATTAATCTGTAAACGGATGAAAATTTCTCACCAAAAAAAAATCAGTTTTTATCTAAACAGATATTTGGAATATGAATCATGATTTTTTTATGGAAATTTTTTGAGGCCTTTGACTTCTATGAAGTCTACATCATGGGACCTCCTTTGCCAGTACCAAAATATGAGAATAGATTTTCCCCTTTTATCTGGCAACAAAACAGCTGTTCAGATGTTAAAACACCAAACTGAAACCGTTTACAAGGAATCATGTCTGCATTAACCACAATACTTGTGGTCAGAATGCAAACAAAAAACAAAGAAAGCTGTCTCTGGTGTGGACCAATCAGTTTAAAAGACAATGCATATATTCATCTTCTTGGTTCTTTCGGTAAATTCACGTAGAAGGGAAATAATAAAATAATAAAAATGAAACATAATAAAATACAATTCTCACGACGTTTCGGCCACAACGCAAGCAGCCGTCCTCAGGTGAAGAACAGGTCTGTCGGAAAGACGTTGTGGCCGAAACGTCGTGAAAATTGTATTTTATTATGTTTTATTTTTATTATTTTATTATTTCCCTTCTACGTGACTTTACCGAAAGAACCAAGAAGATGAATCCCTGCAGTCACGAAAGCTTTAAATCGAAATTTAATGCATATATTATCAGAGTATGTTTTTGTTTGCATTTTGACCACAAGTATTGTGGTTAATGCACACATGATTCCTTGTAAACGGTTTTAGTTGGTGTTTTAGCATCTTAACACCTGTTTTGTTGCCAGAAAAAAGGGGAAAACCCATTCTCATTCTATGAGGTCTTTTGGTAAACAAAAAAATTACATCTGGTATTCATAGCATGTCTCCAATGATTCCATTCACTGAAACATTTTATTTTTACAAGGAAATTTTTTTCTGATGCCATTATTAACACACATCATACTTGAAAATGTTTCACCGTTTTGCAATTGTAAATGATTGTCATTTGAAGGCAGTTGTTCAGAATTTTCTCTTTGCTACAGCATAAAATATGGTGCTTTGTTAAATGAAGCAAAGCTGTTATCTAGCAATAGATTTCTATAATTAAAGTGTAATAATACACTGCTTTCCATAATAAAAGTGTTTGGGTTAGATCGATTAAATGTAAATGTGTCGTTAAACCCGCTAACACCCGATAGAGCCAATTAGTAAGGTTTGTCACGTAAACTTGACACGTAAAACATAACATGTTTAAGTGACAAACCTTACTAATTGGCTGTGTTGGGTGGTGGTGGGTTTAACGACACATTTAAATTTACGCGATCTACCCCAAAAACCTCTATTATGGATGTGTTAAAATACACTGCTTTATTACAATACGTGCAAAATAGTATACAGTACTATCATGTTAAGTGTTAATCACACGTTAATACGTATTCATGAGTTGGAAATTGAACCCATTAATCTAAACACAAATGCAAATTGCTTTGTTGTACGGTCAGTGACATTGTGAAATATATGCAAGTAATAAATACATGTTGCAAACAAAATGAGTTTTTTTTTGTCATTTGAAAAATCAACCATGCACTCCTGTATACCAGTCAACAAACCTCCAAGACAGCGCAATTTAGCTGTTCTAAATTGTGTTGCTTTGACGAATATTGCACTTTACATTGGAATGGTGTCACTTTTCATCGTTTATTATTTATAATTTGTCCATTTTCATCATCCAGAGGCATTTGTTTAACAGCTGATCCAGCGTTTACCAGAAGCTCCATCGGTTGATGGACATATTTAATTTGTACATTCAAACTGACCCGTCTCTATTTGAGTCACGTTTTTGGGGTCAGTGTTATGAGCTGGGCATGCAGTACAGTACAAGCTCATCTTCAGTCAGGATCAATCCACTGCTGGATGCATTTATATTACTACTGTAGTATTTTTAAACCTTTATTTAGATAACTGTCACCCCCCCCCCCCCATCCTTGTGTTAACCCTTGACGCATCAAATCCTGTATACGTAAGATGCGACAGCTGTTCAGGATATAAACAGTTTAATTTGCTTCCCAAATCATTACGATCGAGTGAACATTCTCAATCTGCAGTGTGGTCCACATGTCTTGTGAACCTCCATTTCATTCTCTAAAATTCACATGTTAGGGGTCAATGCATGGGGGGGCAGGGGTCACAAGACATCTGCACCACACCTGTGACACTGCTCAACATTTTCGAATCGCGTTTCGACGACGAATACGAAACGAGGCCTCGTCGCGCACCGTAGTATTGCCGGAAGCGACGTCGCGCTCGTGCCGATTCGTTTTGGCGGGACGGGGATTCGGTGCAGAGGGAACTGCACGCCGCCGCTGTTTGTGTCCCGCTGATATCGTACGGTAAGAACAACCGCGTTGTAACATCGGGGCATTCACAGGAGGGGGGCTTAAACGTTTGCGACGGACCCGTGGGTTGTTTACCGACGACGGCTGTCGATGCTCCCGAGTTCACAAACGCGGCGCGGCTGGTCTGGCTCGTTCGTCGACCAACTCGATGTAACAACATCATCGATAATTGTTTTTTTACCCTTTTATCTGGCAACAAAACTGACACCTTTTTTACAAGGAGTCATGTTTGCATAGACCACAATACCTGCAGTAATAATGCAAACAAAAAACACAACTCTGATAATGTATATATTGTATGCAATGTATGCAGTGCATACATTATCAAAAAACACAACTCTGATAATGTATGCACTGTATTCAGTGCATACATTATCAGAGTTGTGTTTTTTGTTTGCATTATGACTGCAGGTATTGTGGTCTATGCAAACATGACTCCTTGTAAAAAAGGTGCCAGTTTTGTTGCCAGATAAAAAGGTAAAAAAACAATTAATATTTTTTACTGGCAAATGAGGTTCCAATGGTGTAAACAACATCATCATCGATGTTTGGCTCTCCCGTCAACGTCAGCTGTGCAAAGAAGGATGTTATCATGAGCTGTGTTCAGTAGCTGCTATTGAACGAACGCGACTGATGGCGGCACTGAAATAGAATTAGTAGACTGCCTCCGCCTGTTTAACGCAAAAAAAACCTCCTGTGTTGAATTTCGATTTAAAGCTTTCGTGACTGCAGGGATTCATCTTCTTGGTTTTTTCGGTAAAGTCACATAGAAGGGAAATAATTAAATAATATTGATTAAATACATTTATGCTTTTTTATAATAAAACATAAAATATATTTTTTAAATAATAAAAATAAAATACAATTCTTTTTATATTATTATTTTATTTCCCTTCTACGTGACTATCGAAAGAACCAAGAAGATACTCCTATGTTATTATGTTGTTAACAGTATGATTACGCATGCCCATTAACCACACGGGCTTCTGCATCTTTATCGGCAGCATGAATTCATTGTAAGCAAGCAAACTCTCTGGACCCGTTTCGACGTAGGATGTCTTATCGCTTAAGCCCCGTAAGTAAATGCTGCTGAACTGTCAGATGTGATAGGTAAGGACTCTCTCTCTCTCTCTTAGACATGGGGCTGAATGTCGAAACCGGTTCGGAGTTGTGCTGTGTTGAACCAATGCTGCTGGATTATGCACTCCGGAAGGCCATGTGGCTAATGGGATGTGTAGAAAATGTTTTTTTACTTGGCAGGACATATTCTGGGGACGGGATTTGTTTAGTTTTTTTGTGAGTTTATGATTATTTGTGTGCAAAGGTACTGGTGGCGATGGTTAGTTCGTAAAGGTGGTTGTGATGATGATGATGTAGTACTAATTTTTATTACATTTGAGGTCGTGTGAATATTCTTATTTGTGCTGATTATTATAAGTGATGATGGATGGGATGGTAATGTTGGAAGTGGTGAAGATGCTAATCTTCTATCTTCTATCTATATAAATGACAAAGTTGGGATTATGTGTGTCTGTTCAAAATGTTTAGCGTACTTCCCGACATGCAACAAACTTGAAATTTGCCATGTAGGTACTTTCCAGATTGTACACTGTGAAAAAATGATAAAAATAGACTTTTGTGGGTTTTTTGGTGAGTGGGGGCGCAATAATGCAGATATGTTTTACACGGCAAGTGAGCTGTGACGTCACATCTGTGTAGTGGTTAGCGCGCCGCGCTACGAACCCGGCCACCCGAGTTCGATTCCCGCTCACGGCCACCACCGGTGACGATTATTTCAACCGCTCCTGGGCCTCCCCTAGGTCGACTCAGCCTCAAACGAGCAACTCGTGTGGTGTGTGAACATCGCCACTGGGGAGACAACGGCGGCCGGGCGTGGTGAATCCAAGCCCCGGGCGAAGCCGGGTAGTAAAGCTAGTACTTTATATGGTGAAGATAGTTATATTGGTTGGATTGTGATGTGCTGATGGTGGTAGTGCAATTCTGATGGCCAAAATTGTTTAATGATGGTAAACATCCTAATGCGTGATGGTTAGTGCTAATAGTCATGATGGTGTGAAGCTAAAATAACATGCCGGTGAATCAAATTTGAGACCTGGTCATCTCAATCCCATAAATAAGGTTGAGCGTGGACATTTGTTAATGTCATTTTGACGCGTGTTATACAAGTGAATCGTGATGTAATGGTGTTTTTATTTTTATGTTTTCAGATTTAATTGGACAGAAATTACCTGCATTCTTTGGTGTGATATGGACCAGAAATGCACAGAGGTAATTTCATTTTCTTTGTCATATATTGCATAATGACAGCAAAACACAAACTAATTTATGCAAAAGTTTACATTTTAATAAGTTCGTTTTTTTCGCATTCGCATCTCTTCGTGATGACTGTAAGTCGTTTACTGCTGGGAGTGTGTGGTGATTGCGTGACGTTTCTAGGCATCGGTGAAAAAAAGGTTCAAACTGGGTGCTGTGTATATACTGTTGCCCATGTGTGAAGTGGGTGTTTTGGTACCACCTGGGGTGACAAATGCGACGGATATTCACTTTTTTAAAGCATTTATCTCAGGCCGACACATACATTTATGATAGAAAGGACACCATGGTATATTTTTATTATAAATAAATATATAATTGTTCAAATAATTTACTATCCAAAGTTTTCCAAAAGAGGTCTTTGGATATAGAGCTTTCAGAAAATGTACCTTATGCATGTTTATTACTATCTGAAACTGAACTTAAAGCATTAATTCTGGTTGGCTTTTGATGGTTCAAAATATGTATTGGATAAACTATACTTCTCCTTACAACAGATTTAAATTGTAAACCATTGCATCTCAATATTTACTCTTGTATGCTTTGCTTACTATTATTGCCCCATCCACAGTTTGCTATAAATAATATGGTTTGAGTTACATCAGGCAAGGTCATGCAAGGTAGTCTAAATTATGCATGCCGAGATTTCAATCCACGGTGCAGTGGCTTCCATTGGTTGGAATAGTACAACACAGCCTGATATACATGAGTGAAGACGAGTAAGACTGCATACTGCAAAAAGTGTGATCATGAACAATACCAACACTTATTTACAGCACTGATATGATATCTCCGAATGTGATTGACAAATTGAAATTAAGATATTACATATTTGTCATGTAATATTGCCAAATTAAATAATATGGACATAGGATTGTTGCGTGCTTTGAAAATGAATGCCGAAATATTTCAACATAAAAATGTAAGAAACGGTGCCAATTAACATGGACCTTATTACCAATTATCTTCAATTTGACCTTTGCAGAGTATATCACCATCCCTGACCGTGGAGAGTGAGATTCCTGCCAAAAAAGCCAGACAAGATCCACAATGCATTATACACTGCAGCGATGATAACACCAAATTGATATGTCCTCAAACAATGGAGTCATGGCAGACCCTCAAGAGAGCTGGCGAGGTCCGCAATAACACAATGATATTGGCCATTACAGCAAATTCTACAGAAGGACAAATACCAAACGTGCATTACCACAGGAAATGCAGAAGCCTTTTCACCCTCAAAAGAGACCTTGACAAGATAGCGTCGAACAAAAGCCAAGAAGGAAATGTTTTAAGTGAAGAAAGAAAATCAGCTCCAAGTAGTGCATCGCAAGTGCTTGAAAAGGAATGCATATTCTGTAGAAAGGAAGATAAATATCTAAAAGGTGTAAAATCAAGAGAACAATTAGCTCAAGCATGTCAATTAAGGATAAACAGTACAATTAGGAAAGCTGCAGAAATAAAAGAAGACTCAAGAATTCTGGCTATTCTAAGTTGCGAACTTGTTGCCGCAAAGGCTCATTATCACCGATCCTGCTACAAATCGTACACAAAACCAATAAAAGAGCCCAGGGCCACGCCAGAGAGTGAAGATAATGAAGATACTTATACAAGGGCAGAGTCCACAGCTTTTGTGAATCTGTATAACTTCATCAGAAATGATATGTTTGTCAATAACAGTGTTATGGAGTTGTCAGAACTCACTGGTATGTTGGTAGGATGGATGAATACATTGGGTGTGCACGATGTCAAACCATCTACAAAGAAACATATACGTAGAAAGATTACTGCAGAATTTGCAGACTCTTTGTGCATGGTACACACTAAAGCAAAGAAGGTATTAGTATACCCTGATAGTTTGACACGCGACCAACTTGTACTTGCAAACTATGAACTTAGAACTGAAGTTATTGCATTGAAAGCTACCGGTTCAAATGTTACCGGGAGTGAATTGAGCAGAAATTCATCTTCAAACGCCTATCATGGAGCAATCTATGATTCAGCCATGGCCACGTAATTATTTATAATTTCACGAGTAGAAAATATCAATACCACCACCTGTTGACACGTTTCTGCAAGATTGGCTCAATGCAGGTGAATCAGAACTTACCTAGAGATGAACCTGGTTCATGAGCTCTATTGCTCAGGATGTGATGTTTGGTATGAGCAGAGATAGATACAGTTCTAAGCCCAGCTGGCTAGTGATGGGTTCTTGAGAAAAGTGGACATTGAATTTCTGTTATATACATGTAAAAAACATGCAAAAGGGGACTTGCAAAATTCACACAAATGGTAACAAATTCTCAGAACTACGCATATGAGCTGCTTCTAATAACCAACTGATGATGGAAAAGACATCAAAATATAAAATTATGAGGAATCATTCTAATTATTTATAATAGCCATCAGAAATTATGTTATAATTATAGAAAAATGTGGATGAAGTTTGTATTTACATCATCTTTGGCCATGGTACTGAAGTATCTAACGGTGTTTAAGTACAATAAACAAAAATATGACATTCTTATATACATCTAGTAACTACCTCTCATTTACATACGTGTTGTTCATTGTGAATTTAAGTTCATTGTTGCTTGAAAACATTTTAAGCCCTTGTAATACAATGAATAAAAAGTTTTTGAGAAAAAAATGTGTTTATATTTCCTGTTTGTTTTGTGTAAAATGTACTTTAAATGGCCCCGAGCACTTTAATAGCCATGAAACATTCATAAGTCATACATTTCGTGAGATACCTACACATCTTTCTTTCCAAAATGTGACTTGTGACAATTTGTCAAAAAACTTTCTGTTGCCATACAAAGCAATATTTAAGCCAGTCCATTATAGGCAGAAAGCTTAGCGTATTCACTGTCGTGTTTAGTCTAAAAACCATGTATTTACAAATTCCACAGATGTTACCGTTCATGTTTTTTGCTGAAACTATTCTTTAAAGACTTTTTTTCTCATACAAATCTGGGATGACCTTGCTATTACAGCTGTCTGAGTTGTGGTTTAGAGATAAATTCTCCGAAAAAAATAATTGCTGGTATTTCCACCCAGGGTTGTATTGATTAGCCACGTTTGACCAGTGGCTTAAGGACTAAAAAGTGTACTGAGTCATAGAGCAGAACAAAAATGGTAAAATTGTCTGCTATTGCTATTCTGGTAATAAGCACACTACACTGGCTTTGGCTGTTCAGCTTCAATTCCTGACCATTTACAACTTCAATGGCAAATAGAATGTCCCCTGTTGTTTTATTCGTCAAGCTTTGCCTAAAATGAACGTGATAATCATGCTTGGGAGTTAATTATTGACATGGTGTCGACCTCACTTATCCCCATTATGTTTTGCCATAATAACCTAAATAAGCAATACTTGTCAACCCCTGACCGGGAAGTTAACTCGACCTTCTAGTCTGTGAGTCCCACATGCGCAGCACTGTACCACTCTGTCAGATACAGATATATTCAACTACAAAATATTCTCAACCAATTGGTTTGCTGTGTGTGTTTTTATCTTGATATAGATCTCCTTTGAAAACTTGAGTTTTTGGTTTCTATGGGTTTTCATCTGGTTATTAATTTGCCAGAAGGGTTCTACGATGATTTTTGGAGTATGGGGTGATGTTGCTATGTGTAATCCCAATTTAATAATTTGAAGGCAACTTTTCAACATTAAGATGTCTGCCTAATACTATACATGTGTTTTTAGCTATGGAGGAAACCAGCGAACCTGGTGGAAACCCCACACAGCTGCTCGAGTTGCAGATTAAACTGGGGACTTTTGCTGTGAGGCACAAGTGTTATGGCTATGCCACCTTGCCGTTATAAATTAAATCTACCAAGAACCCACAGAAAAATCTCGAATGCAGGGTTCTTTAACTGACAGCCCGCGGGCCTGATGTGGTCAGTGAAGGCTCTTGGAGTGGCCTGCTGAGAAATTTGGGTCACCGAGATGTAAAGAGATACGGCTTAGTGAGATGAGAGATAGATATGGAGAGCTGTATACAAGATACATATCTGTGAGAAGAAAGATATGAGAGAGCTAAAGAAATTAAGTACGCATTAATGTCTCGATCAGTGGCAGTTGGTGTCTAAATATAATGGAGGGGCACAGAAGCAGGTAGGGGAAGGGAGAGGGAGGCAGGTGTATGCAGATTATAATTAGCAGGTAAACACTGTTTTGGTCAGTTTTTTTTACATATAGGAACTTTAGTTTATTTAACTAGGTAAACGCATTCTCATCCCCACCAGCCCCTAATAACGAGCCACCACTGCCTCACAAGTACAAACATGATGTGAGGAAACCATGTGACATAGCGTCCACACGTGACGCTAAGAGACACCGTGTGACACGATGTCACAAGGCTTACCAGCACGTACTAATGTTATTATGTGGCCTGCCAGAAAATATATCTGAAGGACCGTGCTGTAAGGTAAAATCCTTGTCTGCTTCACACAGGTGCGGGAATGGCTGAGCCAGGTACTGGGGGAGCAGCCCATGCCGCCGTTCGAGGACAGCGTCCACACCGTCGAGCTGCTGCACAGCCTCATGCAGCAGCACCGTGAGCACGATCGCTGCAACGCTCTCCTCCTCGACGACTACAAGCAGAAGTCGCTGGAGTACCAACTGGAGGGTAGGCCTCTCTGCGGTGGATGCAGGGGCCATTGCCGCCCTGTAATTACGCTTTTAAGCATGGTGCAGGGCATGCAGCGACCCATCGAATCGTCAATCACCGTCGATTGAAACTCTCACGATACATATTCTTAGGGTTTTTCGGTAAAGTCACGTAGGTAAAAAATTTAAATTAATAAAAGTAAAATAGAATAAAAATGACGACGTACTTGATACAGCAAGCGTGCTGTGACGGTTCCACCTGAAGACGGAAGCTTGTGTTGCCTCCGAAACGTCGTGATTTTTATTTTATTTTTATTTTACTTTTTTAATTTAAATTTTTCACCTACGTGACTTTACCGAAAAAACCTAAGAATATGAATCCTTGCAGTCACGAAAGCCTCAAATCTAGAATCTCACGATACAGGCGTCGGATCGTTCATGTAGCGATTGATTATATATTTACGATGTTCCAATAGCGTATGCGATATTACGTGCAAATGTTAGAATTCACCGAGGGAGTGAATTATTACACCTGTGGTAAAGTTGATTTGAAGTTTAATTTGATATTTGTAACATCGCCTACACTTATTGCACCAACTAATGTGACGCGATCCATTGTAAATAATTTCAAAACCTATACTTTTGCTGTACGTATTAAATGAAAAAGGAAAAAATCGATAGAAGACCCTATATTTGCATGTTATCAAACTGATGCGAATAATCAAGCACGATCATCGCAACCACATCCCCTAAACTATTGAAACATACTGTAAATCTGAAGCTGACCAGTTAATTTATTCTTAGCCTTTGTCTGTGAATTATAGAAGTTGTGAAAACTAATATACATTCTAATATACACGTGAATCAAACTGATGCGAATGAGCGAGTGAATATTGAACTGAAGGACAAATTTACCATTGTGCTCTTCCAGCATTATGCATTGCGTAGACAGTAAATATATTTACAAATAAACACAAATCAAGGCATTGATTGTTGAATACCGTGAGACAAATTATTTCTAAGATTAGGTAAGTAAAACAGAATTTTAAACAAGACCACTCCTGAATTAATAAAGCATGTACTGCAATATATCAAAATATTTTATGTTATCAACAGTTACATTTCTAGTGCAGTTGGAATCGACGAGTAGCGGTACGCAAGGGGGTGCTTTTGTCCCACTCGGGTCGGCAACCAAAATAACGAGCCATTTGTTTCGAATTCGGTCAAAATAAATACCTCAATATTTCAAGAGCTGCAATGCACGTGAATAACGGTCACGAAGCAGCCCTTAAAGAGCCGCATGCAGCTCCGGAGTTGCAGGTTGTCGACCCCTGGCTCCATACGAGTATATTTGTACGTTGAACTTCTTTCGCACCGTACGTAGCCAACCGGGCTAATCGGAGGTGTGTGGGAAGGACAACAAACTAAACACAAAAAAGCATGTTCTAAATAAATGAGTTTTCAATCTAGATTTAAAAGCGCATAGTCCCAGTGGATTCCTAATATTGGACGGAAGAGCGTTCCAGACGGCCGCAGAAACGCATCTGACGGCGCGCAATGCAATGACCGAGTGACAGCTTGGTGTGCTTCTGTGCTCTCGCCCAGCCGAGTGTCTGCAGCAGCTGCTGATGGACGCGGTGGGTGTGTCGCCATCGGCCCTGTCCTCTAGCGGCACCAGCAGCCTGCAGGCCATTGTCCAGAGTGCCATGGTCCTGGAGTTGAACAGCACTTCAGAGAGCAGGTGCAGTCAATGCCCTATGCGGAGGGAAGGGTGGCCCAGATCATATTTAAAAAATATATGTGGCCTTCTTGGCCAGTACCAAAATATGAGAATAGGTTTTCTCCTTTTTTCTGGTCTAACGCCTTTTGGCGTCCTCTGGTCTAACACCATTTGAGACTAGGCTCCAAAGAAAGCTGTCTCTGATGTGGCCCAATCAGTTTCAATGACAATGCATATATTATCAGAGTATGTTTTTTATTTGCATTCTGACCACAAGTATTGTGGTGAATGCAGACATGATTCCTTGTAAAAAGGTTTCAGTTTGGTGTTTTAACATCTTAACACCTCTTCTCATGTAATACGTGTAATATAAACCCCCATACTAACAGCAAGGACATTTAGAATTTCAGCCAATGAGGGTGAAGATGTAGAATGTGACATCTGTTTTTATTACTTCCTTAAAGTCATCGTTTGCCTGACGATGTGTTTGCGGTCACGTTGGTATTGCAAGCACGGTCATGTGCAATCAGGATAAATCACCAACAGATAGTTAACTGCAGGCATGTAACTACTATTGCATTATTCAGTATGTAGGTGTATGAAATTCCTGATTCAATATAATTATATGTATATGTCATATTCACAAAACAGTATTCCAGTTACACACAAGTTTTCTCTTGTGAAACATTCACAATTTATCTTGAGCTTGGTTGTGTTTGTTGACTGTGAACCGTGCGTGTCGCGATTTCTGCATAGCTTCATGCAGGCGATAAGCGAGCTGAAGGCGGAGGCGGAGGAGGTACGGGTGGAGAAGGAGGCGGAGGAGCGGCTGGTGGAACGTCTGGCCAGGAAGGCAGCGGCCGCTTTTACTCAGCAGGAGCAGCTAAAGCTGTAGGTGGCGCACATCTCACATTACCAGCCGAGAGGTGCCGTTGACTTTCGTCTTCCCGTGACTGTTTGCGCAGCCACTGCGTGTAGGTAAAATCTCTTGTGAATGTTCCCACTTCACTGACATGGTCGAGTAGATCATTGTGCATTTATGAATTATCCACCCAACTCTCCAAAGTGGCCACTAGAAGATAGAGTAGAATGTATTATACAGAAACTATTGACATTGTCAGCCCCCTGCGCAAATATCAGCTGAATACATTATTGACCAAATTATTTGAGAATCAGAATATTTGTTTATACTGGAGGACTGCATTTGTGTGTACTCCTCAATAGAATCACCGCAGTTAGTCAACTCACTGCAGTTAGCCGTTCGTC